GAAAATAGCACCTTCTATAGTTTTATACTTGTATCACTTATTACATGGTACATGACTTCAAAATTTTTTTTTTTTTTTTTTTTTTTTTTTGTCTTTTTGAGGCAGGGTCTTGCTATGCAGTTTAGGCTGGTCCTGAACTCACTTTTTAACTCAGGTTGGCCTCGAACTTGCAGCGATCTTCCTGCCTTAGCCTCCCAAGTGCTGGGATTATAGGCGTGTACCACCTTGCCTGGCGATTTCTATGTATTTTAACATACAAACTGCTGCTTTTTAATGTTCATTTTTGGTACAGCTCTAGTAATTTATAACAGTCAATTTTATATTCATGTTTCCTAAATGATATAATCATTATTAAAATAAATATCCATGTAAGTGGAGTCATATCACTAGGGAATCAATAGTATAAGTACCTAGCAAATTATTAACTTGTTTAGACATAAGACTAATATAATCATAATTTTGTACTATTGAACCCATTCAAAGTAGGATTTAATGAGATTATTTTCATTTTTAGAGACTTCCTTCTAAATAATTTAACCTTTCATTGTTAACAGAATGAGTTTAGTAAAATCCCAACTGCTACTAACAAAGGTTTGGCTCTGCTTAAAAACCCACTTTGTAGACCCTGGGCCAATGAAGGAAAGTTCTCTTACATTACGGTGAAGGGTGGGAATCAGATGAAAATTCTCACCTCTGTAAATATCTTCCACTGAATGTGAGAGGGAAGATTGCTAAGCATTTATCGTTCATGATAATGCTTCAGAATGTCCTGTTTAAATGTACAGTGTAAATATGTAAATACTTTACTTTCCAACCCAGCGTGTGAAACTCTTCCACCTTACTAGACCTTTGTGACTGGCGGTTCTGTGTTGTGTTCCTGAAACAAATCATCAGCACTTTTGTTAAAAGTATCTTTCACGTAGCTGTTCTCTATGTACAAAATGTTACAAGGTCCACATTTAAAATAACACGTACTGAAATAAATGATTTAAACAGATGTTCTAGTTGATTGAATTTTTATTCTCATCCTCAAAATTTTAAGTGTGAAAGTTCCAGGAAACATACAAAGTGGGAGGGGGCACAAGTATTCAAACTAACTTTCTGGTGGCTATTGAATGAGATTTGCCATATAGATTTTTTCCCCAGTTTTTAAAGACTATATAGTTCAGATTTGCCTTGAACTCACTATGTAGCCCAGGCTGGCTTGAATTTATAGTGATCCTCCTGCCTCAGCCTCCCAAGTGCTGGGATTACAAGTGTGTGCCATCACACTCAGCTCTTAAATTAAAAGACAAAAAGCAAAATGACAAAGGCTGTGGCTTGCTTCTCTCTTCTTTCATTTGTACCCCAAAAGCAAAAACCTAACATCAGGTGTTCAATACATCTGGATGCATAATAGAAAAACTAAGAGAGTGCTGCAAATTTACAAAGAAAAGGGGAACTAAGGGGAGTTTGAGGTCATCAGTTGTCTGGTAGCACTGATAAAAGATTAAACACATGTTTTTCAATTGACTGTGAGACATGCAACGTTAATTCCTGCTAACTAAATTAATAGTTTTTTTACTAATCTGTCTAGCCTATCTAGCTTTTGAGGGAGTGAAGGGATTGGCTTTTTGAGATAGGGTCTCACTATGCAGTTCAGGCTGGCCTCGAACTTACTGTATAGCCCAGGCTGGCCTCCAATTCACAATGCTCCTCCTGCCTCAGCCTCCTGAGTTCTGGGATTACAGCACTGTGTGTGGCACCATGCCCAGCCTTTGTTTTGTGTTTGCTTTTGTTCTCGCCTACCTAGTATTAAGTGTACTGGTCCTTCCTGGACAGGCATCCTAAGGCCCTTTCTCCACCAAAGACAACCCTTTTCTCCAAGTCATCATCTTGGACACAGATAGTATTTTACTCAAAATATTTTTACTGACCTTTACTAACATTTAAAGTGCACTGAGCCAGGGATACGGCTCAGCGGTGCAGCAAGAGCTAGGTGATGAGTCTGATTCCCAGTACCCAAAAATAAATAAAGTACATTGAATCAGCTAGACTTTGTAGTGTGCGAAGGTAACAATATTTTTCATTGGTCTGGATTTCATGAACCACTCTAATTAGCTGGGCCAACCAGTGGGCAGGGACTCGCAAGCTGTGAAAAGGCTCACACCAGAGATAAGGTTTGGGGTTAGAGGTAACTGCTAAACAAGTCTTCCTGAATTACATGCTGGAAGTCAGAAGGCCGTAAACAACGAGAAGGAATGCAGAGGGAAGAAGGGGCAAAAAGGGACCCCGGGTGCGGAAGTAACAGGTCGCCCGTCACAGACTGCTCGGAGGGCCTGTGGCCCCCGGGCCGGGAGATGGGGCGGGACCCCGTGCAGCAGGCTGGGAAGCACAGGGACCTTGCACCTGCCAGGGGGCTGGACACCATGGCTGCAGCAAGAGCGCAGAGGAAAAGCCTTGCTTCTCTGCCTCTCGAGCCCAATCTGTGGGGTTCTGTACAAGCACTTTTATTTCTCACATAGTCGTAGGTAACAGGATCATCTCGTTGGTTGAAATGGGGCGGGGAAGGGTGTAAGCTGCTCAGCTTCTCAGCAAGGGGCTCCACAGGTTTCCCCAGGGCGGCAGGAAAGAGGTGAGGCGCCCTGGGTAGGGTGGGCGCCCTTATTCTCCGTCATCCAGGGCTATATCAAACTACTAAAAAGAGTAAGATAGGACTATAATTTGAGATTAAAAATTCTTCTAAATCAACTTATCTAGACCTATCTTATTTTCCTTAATAGTTTCATAATATTACATATGTGGATATTTCATATATTCAGCCGTCTTATTAAGTGTTCACTTTGTTTCTACCTTTTGCCACAAGCTTTTTCTTTTTTTTTTTTTGAGACAGGGTCTTGCTATGCAGTTCAGCCTGGGCTTGAACTCACTTTGTAGCCCAGGCTGGTCTCGAACTCGCAATGATCCTCCTGCCTCAGCCTCCCGACGGCTGGGAGTACAGGTGTGAGCCACCATGCCTGGCTTGCCACAAGTATTGTGGCTCTAAAAATGTTCATATGAAAGTATATACGTTCTAGAGTGTTTATTTCTAGAGGAGAGACTTCTGGCACAAATGAATGCGTGATACATAATGTGCTGGCCTGCCAACGCCCTGGTTCTGCATCTTTGTGGTCATGATGGAGAAAAACCTCTTGGCAAGTCCAGTTCTGAATACTGAGTCTAGGCTTTCCAGAGGTACACAGCTACAATTTGAGATCAGAGTTCATATAGAAAAGAATGCGGAAGGGAATGAAGCACTTACTGTACAGTACATTATTTATGTCTCTTTTTTTGAATAGGGAGTCAAACTCAGAACCTTGCACCTGCCAGGCAGGCATGTGCCACTGAGCTATATATCCCAGCCCTTTGTCAACTTTTTATAACACTGCTATCTGGAGTGTTCGCCTCCCTTTCTATGCAGCTGATTCCTATTTATCTTCATGGCTCCACACAGATGTCACCTCTTCTAGAAAGCTTCTTTTGCTGCCCCCTGGATTAGGTCAGCTGGCCTTCACATGCAGTACACAGAATACTCCACCTGTAACTAAAGGAGGCAATCCTCCACGGGCCCTGAACATCCCTGAACATTCTTGCTGAGCATGCCAAGAATGTCACTAGCAGCTCTTCACCTCGGCCGTTCTGAGTAATGTTTATAGCAAGCAAACTTGAGCCATGAGACAACTACCCCCACACACCCACACCCACACACACCCACACATACAAGTAGTAGGCTTAGTTCTGTTCACTTTCAAAGTGGTAAATTCCCCAGTCTCAGGGCTTCCTTCCTGGAATCAAACCACTTCAGGCATCTATGATAGGCCCTTTGCATTGCCTCTATAGGATTTTCCTGCCCCAGGAAACCAACCAAAAAAGACCATAAAATTCTCGCTACTGCTTTCGGAGTGAACAACAAAGTCCTTGTCTCTGACTCAGGAATCTTACCGGGTTTTTTTGTTTTTTTGAGACAGGGTCTTGCTATGTAGTTCAGACTGGCCTTGAACTCATTCTGTCTCCCAGGCTTGCCTTGAACTAACAGCGATCCTCCTGCCCCAGCCTCCCAAGTGCTAGAATTATGGGCATAGTCTACCACACTACCACTAAAGATAAATTCTTAATTTAAACCAGGTCCCAGCCCAAGCCAGGAGCGTCTTTAAAGAACAGTTCCCTTCCAGATATTGGGCTGTAGGCTATGGCAGATAGGAATGCAGTTTACCTTGTTTTGGAGTTAGACTGACGTATCAGAAGGAACCTGTACAGTGTATAACATTAAGATATCATTGTGCTCTGCGGGATCATTTTGGGTTTGACACCTAACAAATGATTATAAATGTATTATACACTGATATATATTTCTGTAGTTAACTGGCATCGGCTGCTATTTTGGACCCTGCCCCTTCTGTCCTTAAGGCCTGCTAACCTCCAACAATAGTATACTGAAAGTATAGCTGGCATTGTCTAAGCATAGCCCAGTGGTAGAGCTGGTGCTTAACATGTACTGAGGCTCTGGGTTCAATCCCCAGGTTTTTTTTTAATGTTGAGTGAATGAAATTTGATCGATGATAGAGAATTCCAAGGCATTCACTGATCTAAAGAGATATGTTCTTCAAGACTGAATTAAGGCGGGCGTGGTGGCGCACGCCTGTAATCCCAGCACTCGGGAGGCTGAGGCAGGAGGATCTTTGGGAGTTCGAGACCAGCCTGGGCTACAAAGTGAGTTCAAGGCCAGCCTGAAGTGCATAGTGAGACCTTGTCTCAAAAAGACAAAAAAAAAAAAAAAAAAAAAAAAAAGACTGAATTAAGATGGGAAAGAAAGCAACTTTAAGCAGGCTCAGAATTGCTAAATGATAGGGTGTTCAGACACCAATATGTAGCTTCCTGGATCGGTTTTCGAAAAGCAAAGTCAAACACACGTTGGGTGTTGTCCCAAGTTACATAATTTACTGGACCATCTTTTACCATCAGGTGCAGCTAACCCTCAGAGCATTTCTCTAAAACAATATTTTAGTCTGATTTTGAAAAAGTGCGAGTTAAATGTGTTCTGTACAATTTTTTTAAAGTAATAATTGGTACAGAGCATGCAGAGTACTTCAGAAAATAAAATGCATCGAGGAAACTCATACCAAGGTGAGCCCTGCAACATACCAGTGATTTACTACCAGTTCTTATCTTTGTAGAGTACAAAGAACATAGTCTACAACCTCTGCTTAGCGCTTGGAAAATAGGTCAGGAGAACTGGTGGAAATGCAGGAAAAATTTGCCCTGGTAAGACCTGGACAAAGCAAAAATGCTGAGTGAACCAATTAAAACCTTGAGATGGACAGAGGGCTGCCCAGGGCCTGGTTCTGAGCATGTGGGATTGAGAATGCACAAACCCTGTGTCCATTCTGGAGGGGGTACCTTGGGCTCACTCAGCCTAAGGAGATTTTATTGTCTTTTAAAAAAATAGATTCAAGCTGGGCGAGGTGTCGCACACCTGTAACCCCAGCACTCGGTAGGCTGAGGCAGGAGGAGGCCAGCCTGGGCTACATAGTGAGTTCAAGAACTACATAGTGAGACCATCTCAAAACAAACAATAATAATAAATAGATTCAAGTCATAATCAGATAAGAAGAAAATAGTAACTAACCAATGTGGGTAAAATGGTCAAAAGCAAAAGGCAGACAGCGGTTTGCAGCCTGCTGGGGACCTGCCAGTCTCTTCCTGCACCCCGATGGCCCAGCTGAGCTGCAGCGGAGGGGCCAACGCCGTCCGCGCTCGGGACAGCGCCTCAGTCCAGGCGGGGCTCGGGACACCCGGGGACAGGGCGAGCGGTGCGGGGCACGGAGGGGAGGAGCGCGGGCTGAGCTCAGGCAGAGCGAGAGGAACGCAGAGGGGAGGGCAGAACGGGCCAGCGCGGCGTGCACAGAGGCCGCGAGCGGCGGCGCGGGGGAGGCGCGAGGCCCGAGGGCTCTGCACCTCGGAAACCGGCCGGAGCTGAGCAGCCGACGCCGAACGAAGCGGGGGCGGGGCCCGAGGCCCGGACCCTACACCTCGCGCTGGGCAACGCGGGTCAGGCCTGCCTTGAGCCGGCGGGGGCGGGG